AGTGCATATTGGACGTGAAGAAGGGAGCAAGTTGCACGTGGGGAAAAAAACGCGCCTGATTTAAATGTCACACCTGAACACTCACATCCTTTTAATTATGTTTGAAATTATGAACATTGCTCAAAATCATGAAAATTAAACCTTATTTTCAATAAGCAATCCTGAAAAATATTTGGGGGTGCTTAACTTTTTTCCAGGTGTATAGTTTTAGTTCTACAATATCAATAGGGAGAACTGACATTTCAATACTACAAGATTTAATATTCCTGTAAATTCTATATGGCACCATTAGTAGTTTATCTGCAATTTTGGTGGATTCAAGTTCCATCACCAATTACAGAAATTTCTTTAAAGATGTACATCTACTTTGCTTCAGCCTGATACAAGTATCCTCATCTGCTATGACATCTACAACTTGCTTAAGAGCCAATGAACCCTACATTTCATTGTCTGGGTGAGATAGTTGAGCAAGCCTTTCCAAGTCTTCTACAAGTTTAGCTAATGTTTCTTCTTTCCTGTTCTGGAACTTTGCTGTGGATTCCTCTTTCTGGTACAAAAATTCAAACCTCTTGGATAAAACAGCTACCAATGCTTGATAGTTGTTATGGCTCTCAACTGGAAGCTTATTTAATGTTTTCAAAGCTGGTCCTTTTAAATAGACAGCAATAAAGATGGCTTGTTGTTCAATATTCCACCCCTGTTCACTTTGGAAATGATCTCGAACTTAGCATAGTATGACTTCCATGATGCTTTCTCATCACAATCTGTTGATTTATCTCTTGGCCAATGCTGAACTGGCTATCTAAGTTCTGGAACCAGATTTAGTATAATCATGGTTGGAATAATCCAAGATTGTTCTTCAGTAACAGCAGGGGTGGCAATAGGCATGGACCAAATAAATTCTCTTATTCCATATTCGGTGGTGATTTCAGTGTAAACTCTTGAGCCAATGCAGAAAGAGATGTAGCTGCTTAATCTTTGCATTTAAAGATTCATTTTTCAGATGTTTTATTCTATCACTGATGTTCTTTTCTACCATGATGATGCTCTCTGCTACTTTGTTGATGTCTTTCTTTACTTCATCAGTTCTATTATCTTTACTTCATTAGTTTTTATGTACCTCTACAATAGCTTAACTGATTTTGTCTTCAATCAGACATATTTTTGATTTTAATTCTTCCTTAACTAGTATGTTTCTTTCTTGTAACTACTATCTTCAATTCTTGTTTCTCACCTCATGATCATCTTTTAATTTTCTGTATCACTCTTCAGGGCCTTCTTTTAATTTTCTATCTTTTTCTTCTAATTTTTTGTCTCTTTCTTCTTGTTTTCTGTCCCTTTACTTTTGTTCTTTAAATTTTCTGTTTGTTCTTTTCACTGTTTTATTATGTCTAGCATGTTTCCTATCTCAGTTTATGCCCTTGTGGTCACCTTAAATGACGGTTAAAAACTTCTATTTTATTTTCACTTAAATAATCCTACTTTTGACATCAGTGTTGTAATGCTGTTCTTGTGAGTTTTTTGAAAATATGTGGAGAAAATAATTCAAAGTCCAGTCCACCTAAATAATAACAAATTAGTTTTATTTCTTCCTTAACATATTACAAGCTTTAACACTTGTACATTGTTACAACTTGTTGTAGGCCTAACTTTAACAAGAAGGAATCATCAATAGCCATGGCACTTGAAATTCTTTTAGATGGGATTAGAGTAAATTAATCTACAAGACTTTTCCTTCCTTTTTATTAGCTATATTTTTGTGTGCCAACAATACCAAGTGTGATGCATGAGTATATCCAATTTGATTTTATTACTCATCAAGGTCTCTACCAGCCTACCCTCAAATTGAAATTCTCATAGGCAGGATTAGAGTAAATTAATCTATAAGACCTTGGGTGTGGTCAAATACATCAAAAGATTTCGACCTCTTGAGTCCAAAACTGTAATTAGATCACAAATCGTTCAAGAGATGACAGAGTTATGAGCTAAAAGTTTGTACTTGAAAAGAAAACAAAAAAACTCAGGGCCATTCTACGAGTCACTATGCCACAGCTAAAAATTATGCTAGCTGTTTTGTTTTTTGTAAAATCTTCTCTGCTAAATTGTAAATGACCTTTACTGGATGTTCATCATCATCACATAGAAGAGCATCAGTATCTAAGGATTTGGGTTTTAAAACAAATTATGACCTAAAATACTGTAGTAGTAATTAAAACTTTCAACCTACCTGGCCATTTACTTGGAACAGTGTTTGGGATAAGAAGATCTGATCCCTCAGAACAATATCTATGTCGTCTCAGATACCCTGCTAGTAAATGACTGTTCTGGTAAACAACACTGGAGCTAAGAAAATGTTAGAAGATAAAAAATTAGCAGTTACATACTCACATATATCTACCATTATAATCATAAAAATTACTGAAAATGAGCATTTAAAGAATATGTCACTTAAGGGTATTTACAAACAGTTGTCACTGATAGCACTGTTTTTATAATTCTTTGAAACATTACTAAATAAAAAAAATGTAATGCTAAATTTAAGCTTCTTGCAGATCTTACCATTCATTTAACTAAAAAAAAATAGTGTTAAGTCAGTCTTTGTAAGAAAGTCAGTTATATAGCCAACTGAAAATGCACAAAAAATAATAATATATTAACACCTTAATATTAAAAGTATAACTATTCAGTATGTCAGGCTTGTAATATAGTACAAAATTACAACAATAAATAAGACTTGAGGTTTGTGATAACAGTTATTAAAGTAATGAACAGCTTGGTCCCAACAACCTTACACAATACTCAAAACGCTTACCCTGACAACCACCATATTTATTCTGGTTTTTCTCGTCTTTGAATATTATGTTAGTTTTTTTCAGGATCTAATCCAAACACAAGTACAGATAAAAAAAAAGGTAATCACATCACTCAAACTCTTCCTTATAACAACTCAAACTTTATATTTTAAATCTGGTCTTGTTTTTAACATGCAAGAGTATGAAGGCTATGAGAAACCACATCTACAATTATTGAAATTACTCAAATGATTATCATACAGTTAGCAGTGATTTTCATTTAAACATGATATTTAACTGTCTAAACAGTAATTACTTTCTATTTCTAACACTTCTGTTAACATAATATTGCTACAAGTATCTGTTGATTTATTACAATGAGTCATGACTGTTGAATTTAAAAGCATCAATAGGATACAATATGACGGGACATATCAGGTGTGATAGTCATTACAAGGTGTCACATCATCATTGGTTTGCTTTTTGGAACTTGTGTAGCTACATAAATGCTACCCATCCTAATTTTGGAGTGACAACTTGAAGAGAAGGCAGTTAGTTAACACTGCTAAATGTTGGACTACTTTTGTCAGACTGAATAATGAGATTGATAAATACTCTTATAATGCACAAGAAGTGCCAAAGTGCAGAACACAACTATCTATTAGCAACTATGGAATGTGAACCATGCAACCTCAGCTCCACAGTGCTGCAAACTAAGCACTGTGTTGCTTTCAGTCCCATCATCATCAGACCCAGCAACTGTTTATCTCCGAAATAATAATAAAAAAAATTGAAACATATCATGAGCTCCTATCAACTACTGTATAACAGAAAGGTTTCTAGGGTTTTAAATGATTAAGTTCTGTTACATAATCATATTAGTAAAATATAATATAAGGACTATCACTGTAATAATAAAATGTAATACTTTATTGTATGAAACTAGCAATTAAGTTATTTTGTAGAATTAAAATAAATAATTAAAACTATTCTCATTAGTTTTCTACTAGTTTTACCCATTTAAAATATTTTACTCAATGTGAACGAGGTTGTTCCAAGGACCAACACCATATTGGAAAAGTAATGTGAAAAGATTTTAATCAATGATACAAGTCAGTTGTACACAATGAATCAGATGAATACAGATTTTGTACTGTCAATGAAATGCCAATATCAGTCTGATGCAGACTCTGACAAGTCAGAGTACAAGGTGATGTTTCTGTGAAGAATAAAATACTTTTGTCCATTGTTTATTTGAAAATTGTATTTGCATAACTTCCAGGGCCTACAAAATGTATATCTAAATATTTTCAGTATGCCATATACTGTATCTGGTATTTTTTCCACTCTTAACACAAACTGTTAAAAACAGCAATGTACGTTAACATGAAATGTTGACAACTCTGACATCAAAATGCATAATACCATGTTGAGTAGCACTCTGCATAAGGACAGGGCATGTAGATTTGGATCCCCATCAGCAAATAGGTTTAATTTAAAATTAAAATTTATTGACATTTTTAATAAGATGATTGCAAACTATAGTAGAAAATACTAAAATGTTGCAATCTGGTATAACTATTTGATTGAACTTACCTCATCAAACCCTCAGATACAAAAGATGAACCTTCCTGTTTCACATTGAAATTGTCACTGTCACACAAGGACTGGTATATGCAGGCGGCAAGAGCTGTACCTAAACCTCGGAGAACATTTACCTCATTGAAATTTCCTCTACTGACTAAGAGAGAATATCCTATTTCTGTAATGGACTGGAGGATATCGTGGATCATAGCCTAGTAAAAAAATTTAATTTAAAAAAAAAGACAAATTATATGATGAACTTGGGTTTTCACAGCTTAGTTCTTTTTCTTCATTTTATTCCTTGCAATCATAAAATCACAAGTTATGCAGTGATTAAAAAAAAGCTACTTTAATAGTTTGTTGTAGTCTTACAACACAAGTCCATAGCTTAAGAACAATTTTGATAGTATTAATTTTTTACAAATTTATTTATTTTTTATCTTAATTTTAATTAAACTTGTCAGCATAACTTGCCTTTTTTTTAGTATTTCTTTAGTTTGTATGAAACTAATTTACATTTTTCATTAAAATGTTTTAAGTAATTTCTAACAACAGATTGTTCACATTTTGAACAAAAGATTCAATTTAAACTATAAAAACAAAATTTATCTATTCAAAATTTAGAAAATTAATCTTAGGACAGTATACAGTGGAGAAGAAGCTTTAATAATGAAAAGAACTTAGATAAACTTAGTACAGTACTATAAATTGTAAAAACAAAGTGAATTAAAGGTAAATATTTCAATATTTCACTAACGTCTATCATTTCTGAAATTACTAAACCAGAAAATATGGGAACAATCTAATACTGTAAATGAGAGCTAATTTTGGTTCTCTAAAACACATGGCATAAGAGTAAAACAATAGTTTAAACATTAAATAATGGGTCCTCTCTACAGTGTCACAAATAAGAGATAGTGAAAACCACAAACTTTCAGAAGACTTGAAATTAGAGAAATTAGTTTTGACACATTCATGTTTCAGATAACATGAGACTGAAGATACACAAATGTACTGAAACTAGTTTCTCAAATTTCAAGTCTTTGTTCCATTGACTGTGGTTTTTCACTAGCTACTACAAAAAATATGTTCTTTTGTTATTATTACAATAATAACATCCTAATCATCAAAAGTAAAATAAACATGTAGATCTATAATAATTTCAGTAAATTTAAATAAAAGTCAGTTTTTAACTAACTTGAAGATGGCAAATAGGATCAGCTATGACAGTTTTCTGACAAGCGATAGTTGCTGCCAAGAGTGGTAAAGTAGTTGGGAATGGAAGTGGAGAAAGTAACTGCTGCTGGGAGCGGTCCTGTTGAAGTTCTTGAAGCAACAAACTAAGCTCCATGCGAACAGCTGCCAGGCCTCCCCCATGTGCTCCATGAAGACTGCAATAGCTAAGTAATGTCCGGAGTAATGCCTCGTTTGCTTTAAGCCACTGTTTTCTTTTATAAGAATGCATAAGTTTGGCTTCAAAATCTTGTTTATCAGCCTGTAAAATCTCATGCAAGGTTGGTCTGTTTTCTCCTCGGGTGTCCGCATCCCACCGACCACTCAGAGTTGAAGAAAGCTTTTTCTCCCCAATATTCACAACAGTTACATTTTCACCACCTAACAATAAATTAAATATATGAAATGCATCATGTGTAAATGAAAGTAATGAAACATTAGCTAACAGATGAGAAATTACAGAATAATATTCATAGTTAAATAACACATTAAAAACTTGTATATCATTTAGATGCACAAACTGAGAAATAACTAACAGTCTAAGATTAAAAAAGGGATTTGTTTATGTTCCATGTACAAGTATAAACATTTATCACTGAACCATATCCTTCAATATAACTATGATGGATAATGTCAGACTTCGACTTGCACACTACATTATTATAAAGCTATTTTCAAATCTATTTTCTATCACATAAAAACATAAAAATATATTTAGTAAAATAAATCCAGCTTTTATGGTAGCTCTACATTTCAAAGCTGGAAATTTATATTGCAAGAAATAAATGTAATTTTGTAACTCATTTACAAGCTGAGGAGTGATTTGTTTCTCCAGTTGCTATGTGGCTTTGGAGTCTCAACACATCATTACAGTCATCTGACAACCATACATCTTGACAATAGCCCTACAATGTAGTTTCCATTGCAAAAGGTATTGTCGTAAGGCTGCCAAATCAAAAGCAAAACCCTCCTTTCTAATGCTTTCCATTCTATATCTAATGTAGGAGAATGATGGTTTCCAAATGCCTATTTTAATAGTCTGATTGCACAGAAATCCATAGGCACTGTATCTGGCGACTTGACTGGTATGTCTTCCTATGGAATAGAGCATGTATACTCATTTCATTCTCCAGCTGAATGAGGTATGTGACAGTTGAACAAATAAGTCAGAAAAACTTTCTGCACACCAGAGTTGTGTTGCTTTTCAAGACAGAGATTCTTCTTAATCTTTACTGATAAGTACTGTTGTCAGAGGCATGTGGAAAGCTTTTACCATTAATCTTTGTATATTGTCACCTGTTACAAAATGCAGCAATTTGCTTACCATGGCTGTGGTATGACTTGTTGCAGGTCTTTTTCTGGATGACCCTGGTTCCCCAAGTTGATTCATAATTCTTTGCTTTCCAATGCCATTACGTATATGGGCTACCTCCATATTTAAAATTCTTTGTAATCTGAACGTATGAATATTTTGCATCAAATCAGGCTGTAACACACCTTCCCAATTTTTGGCAGCATCACACTTAACAATTTCAAAGCATAATTTTGACATGCCATTCTACTAGAATTTTATGTTGGTTGATGTTAAGTAACTTGCTGATTTACATAATCAAAATATTTTTAATATAACTACATAACTCTCTCTAGAACCTTCTCCACATGCATCTTAGACAGGAAATTGGCCTGAAACACTGGCTTCCAGTGACCTACAGTGCTTTACCACACATCCTTTAAAAAGATTTAGAGCAGGATACATACATACATACAAAAATCCATTTATCTACTTTTCTTTCTGGTATTTACATTCAATTAAAAACAAGGGAGGAAACACTTCTTTTACCCTTCTAATAGATCATACAGCTATAGTTTTCAATTCCTTAATGATCTTCATATCATCTAACACTCTTTGATAAGTGAACATATTATTTTCATATTGCATTACATAATATATTTCCACTGTATTAATATTAAGTAAATTATAATAGGAAATGTGGGCAGAAGAAGCTTGAAATGGTAAATTGTGCTTTAAGCTTATGTATGTGTCGAATTTAAAACAACTGTTTTATACATGTTCTTCTTTTTATAAACAGAGTAAAAATAAAAACTATTCATGTTTATTTTAGATGTTGACACTGAGAATATAAGTATGCCATTTAGCCGAGAAAGAAAAGTCGCACAGAAATGCTGGTAGCTATATGATTTTTTGATGGCAACATGACTGCTGTAAAAATAAGAAAGCACATTCATGTAGTTCAATGCAGGGAAAACTGTTTATTATTGTACATATAAGAGAAAGCTATCTAAATAACAATATAGAAAATAGTAGTTTATGGGCTTCTTTAATGTTTTAAAGTTTTTTAAATGTGTCAGTGGTTTGTCTTTAAATGTAAAGCATGTAGTTACTTCAGTGAGCACAAATTAAAGGAGCTCTCTTACCAGAGCTCTTCTGTATACAATAACAAGGTTTTACATATAGAAAAACTGGTGTTCTAGGCATTTAAAAAGTATTTCTTAAGCAACAAAAAACAAATCTGGTTTACAAATCATGATGCATATTATACTCATATATGGTACATAAAAAAATAAAAATTTTCATAAAGAAAAACCATATAAAATATATATTTCTTTTATAGCAGCATACATAGATGTTCAGAGGGAATTACAATTTTGATGCAAGGCTATTTTACAATTAAATTAAATGTTACAAGCTAATTAACACTTTACTAAAATGTAAGTTTTAATTTCTATATACATTTTAACAGAAGTAATAAGTTTGTTTACCTCAAAAAAATACTGTTTTTTAACCTTAAAAAAATGTTATTTTTAGTTACTTTTGAAAAAAGAACATGACATATTTGAGTAACTGAGTAAGAAGACACACACAACAAGCAAAGTACCTGTCCCAGTGAAAAGTTTAAGTTAATCTATCAATTTAAATTATTTCATGGACTTCAAAAAGGTTAATTGTGTTGCACTCTTGGTTTCACTCAGAGCCAAAGCTTTGAGCTACTTATACCACCCACTGCAAAAAGTAATTGTTGAACATTTCAGTCATGCAGAGAGCTGCTCAACAATAACATACGGTAAATCTACATTATTAGTCTTTAAGTTACATCACATTTTGAAATATTAATGATAGTGTGATTAATTCCTAACAACTTAAGGTAAAACTTAGTGCTTACGAAATAAAATTTGGCATCAACATTATTTATGCTTGTTCTATCATTTCAAGCGGGATACAAACGAATGCTCAGAAAGACATCACAGTTTGCAATATTCATAAGATATATATATATATATATATTAAACAATGCATACTTGAAACAGAGGAGGAAGAAAAGCTGCTGGACCCATAGTGACAGAGTTCTCGTAGTGCAGCAACCCCCTTCTCTAACCAAGTGTACAACTGGTAACGTAGCTGACCACCATCCACTTCAAACCCAGTTGCTAATGTGCTCAGTTCTTCCATCATAATCTGATAAAAGTTATTTCAGTTTTAAATGACAAAATAGGACTATTAATATATTCATACTGAAATACATTGTAACATTCAAAACTGAAATTTTAACAAGGAATATTACCATTAATAGTATATGGAAGTTTATAAAGGCTGGTTAGAAATGCAGTAATAGTATTTTGAACAGCCTATAAGCTGACAGCTGGCAAAATAAATGCATGATAATTCATGAAGAGTGCATTATACTAGGTTTCCTGATACAGCACTAGGAGCACCATTATAACACCCATTAACTCTCACAACACAAGTTTGGTCAATTTTTTTATTAATGGTAGTAGTGCATTAAATAATTTTTAGTTAATTAAATGATGCACCAAAGAACACAGAATAATAACATGCAAAAAGCAAACAGTTTCCTCTAACTATCAAAAATTTTCTGGTTTTCTAACTATGCAACAAGAGCCATTACAAGTTCATCCAAGCTAGTTGTTACCTTTTCTGTGGGAATGAAGCCTATACTACAAGTGAAACTGACGATTATCTGTTCAGAACACAACATAATATAATATGTCATTTCATAGATGAAAACCTTGGCTTTCTATTTGTTATAGGTAATATAGAATTAAATGTAATAGAGAACTATTAACAAATCCTGAAAAAGAGGATGTTACAGATAGGTATGGCAAGAGGGATCTGATTTTCTATTTGTTAGCTCTGTAATAAAAAAAAATTGAAAGCTATAAAAATTATGGTTTGTCTGTGCAATGAAAATTTTATAAGAGAAGGTGAGGAATCTGTCTAATAAACTCTTTAGTCATTGGGTCTAACACTGCCAAGGACCAACGCTGGAAAGACAAGATCAGTACCCTACAAATGGAGGGCAAAAGTCTGTAAACCAAACTAAATGACCCCTACCAACCCTGAGCCTATAGGATAGTCACCATCAATAATAAAAGCACTGACCAGCAGAATGGGAAGTAGGGACATGGAGAGGAGAGGAAGCAGGAAGATGGGAGGCAGAAAAAAAGCAAAGCAGCAGCAGGGGAGAGATAAGGAAGAACATTGGCATGTGGCCCCAATATGTGACTTTAGAGAAACAAGCACTCCATTAATTTTCTTTTTTCTAAAATGACAGCAGATTGTAACAGATAATTACATTTATCTTTTAAAAAACAGCTTTAGGCCTTTAACCTTTTCACAAATTCTAACTATTAAACAATTGTAACAAAGCAATGATCACCCAGTGAGAGCATAGCTCATGTTATGGTAGACAAAGTATCAGATTACATAACACACAAGTGGCTTGCTTGAATATCTTTGGAAGTCTTTTTTTCTTTTTTTCCTTTAAATGTTCTTACCTAACCTA